ACGCTCGAAAATTTACCATCAAATGTTACAAATTTATGTTAAAGTTTTCCTCCTTCGAACCACGGTTTCAGAAAAATTTTGGACGTGCGTCTAGCCGCCGGCTTTGTAGGGACCTGTGAAACTGGAGATTTAGACTTTGGGCTGTCATATCTTAATGGCGCCATTGGATTTAGGTCAGTTTGTGAGTAGACAAAAATGGTGATGAAGCGGGCATTCACCGACTAACGTAACGAAGGGATATGCGGGTGCGCAACGGATATTGAATATCGCGAGTTACCTGCATAAAAAAGCCAGAAGTGAAAGATGGAGGTGTAGATTCTCTGAATCCAGATGCAGTGTAGGTTTTTGGCGTCTGAAAAGCACGCGCGAGAGGGATGATATGCACACACAACCGGGTTTACCAGGCAAACAGAAGACCCGGCATAGGTTCACGCTCTTAGGGCGCGAAATGGATTGTTCGGAATAACAAAGGTAAATGAAGGTCGGCCGAGACGGTGTTCTTAGAAATTGACTGGGTCATTATAAAACGCCACAATAGTACATGAGCCCTCCGAATATAATGAAAGCCTATTTCGAAAGTACCGCCCTTACGATTCGGGGTACCAGATGCGCACAACGGAAACCGCTTGCAGACAACCATCAGTATGCGATCCATCTGAATTCGAGATTTCGTTCCGGGGTGTAATTTTGTGTTCAGTTTCGGTTATAACAACGATTGTTTTACTTAGGCATCATCGTATAATGTGCGTGAACTCATTTCAGCGCTCAAATCGTGCTCGGTACTTGTTCACATGCCTCAGAGAAACGGGGCGTTGGAGGATGGTGAGTAATATTAATACTTATAGTACATATTATTTTAAGGTTACGCCCGTGTCAGCGTTGTCATAGGCACACAGTGGGGCGATGAGGGCAAGGGGAAGCTGGTGGACCTTTTGAGCGAATCCACAGATGTCGTTTGTCGATGTCAGGGCGGGAACAATGCTGGTGCGTTATGTTTTTTGTGTATAGGCTTCCTCCCAGGTCACACGGTTATTCACAGTGGCCAGGAGTATTTCTTCCATATGATCCCAAGTGGGGTGATGAACCCGAAAGCCCTAGCCATAATCGGTAACGGCGCAGTGGTGAACATCGCAGAACTATTCAAGGTGTGTTCTACATACCCAAGACATAGCTTGCCAGGAAATTGAAGAGGCCGAGTCCAAGGGTTTGAAAGACGTAGAACATCGCGTCCGAATATCTGACAGATGTCATATTATTATTGATGTCCATCGAATGGCGGATGGGCTGGAGGTACTGTGAACGGAAAGATTGTGAATTTGAGAATGTTTCAGGAAGAACTGAGGGGTAAAGGTTCAATCGGGACTACAAAGAGGGGAATCGGGCCGACCTATTCATCAAAGGTCACGCGGAATGGCCTTCGCATGTGCGATTTCGTTGGCAACTGGGACGCATTTGTCACGAAGTACAACGAACTAATCACCTATGTCAGACGTCGTTATCCGAAGCTGGATATCAATGTTCAGGAATCCCTTCGGGTATGTTGATTTTTCTTCCGCTCCACATCATTTTGCTCCGTTGCTAGGCCCAACATAACCCAAAGTAATACTATGAAAGCCAGATTACTTTTCTACTACACTATTCGGTTAAAATCGCAACCAGAATCAAGACCACACGATGTATGAAAGCAGGCTCCAGTTAGCTATTCAGTAGATTACCTCTCTAAGCTGCCTGAAAACGTCACGACGTCAGGATATAAGGTTCTGAAACCCCAATCGCAGCACTGGTATGGCACGCAACTGTCTAATTAATCAATACCCTGAGGCGAAGCTTTGTTCCGTCCTCTCAGAATAAATTCATATGGATAGAGTTCTGTGTAGTACGTAGTAAGAGATGAGGCACTCAAGTTGTTCAGTGACCAGAAGAGACACGCGTGGCACAAACAGGAGCGAAAAGTTGTGATGGGTTCTATGAAGGCTTCCAGCCATACGGCCGGCATTCTCTGTTTTGTTTTTGAAGAAATCAGGTCTGTCTAATTCCTTTTTAAAGGCGGAAGTCCACTACTTTCTAAATGGATCTGCTCAACGCCAACACTTTACTTCTAATATAAGACTCCTTCCTAAGTTGTGGAAAATGATTTTGACACCCTCAGCCTTTTTCTAATTTATTATCTAGCTATATGAATTAAGAGCATTCACTGAGCGTAAAAGCACTGTCTTTCTACGTAGTGGATGAACATTAGGCGGACGGTTCAGATGGTTTATTTACTACCTTCGTAATCCACTCCAACAGTAAGTTCTGCATACATTGAGCCGCTTAAATTCCAAGTCGATGTATGAAAGTAAAACTTGCTCTGGATCATCCGCAAACAGTCCTCAGGTTTCGTCACGGGGATGAATTTTTTCGAACAAACCATGGCGGGCGCCATTCGCGTTCGGAAATCAGGGCCCTTAATGACAATAGCGAAGTAATCGATGTGATTTGGAAATGGAGAATATATCGGGATAGGGTTTATTGGTGCAGACTTGCATTTTTGATGCTTTTTCCCTACTTGCTTTCCAATCCCCATTCGTCGAAAAGCACTACCACAAGGTGAACAGATAATCGGATATCAACTTTTATTTTATTATTTTTCTTCTGAATCCTGTTTTCTTTTTCTTTTTCTTAAATAATTTCTGATAGCGTTATCCTTTTCCTTCGGTTCATTTGTCATTTTTTGAAAAGTTCTTTTCCCTGCTTTCCTGCAGCACGACACATCTGAGATCTGCTGCCATAACTATCGTTACGCAATCAGACCAGCCATTTAAAGCTAGTTCATTCGAGCGATGTTGAAATGAACTTCCGAACCATTTCTGGGACGTGTTTTGGTGGCTGAATTTCCAGCCCTAACCACCCGCGATGACAAGTTACTTCGGGATTTAATTGCTTCCTGGGTGGGTATACTCAACCTGGTGGAGCTGCTCTCTTGGCCATAGTCCAGGGATTGTACTTAAGGCCAAGTGGTCTCGATAGTCTAATGTCTCATGACGTTTGTTCCTGCGATAGCCGTTAACTATCTTGAGGACATCTTCCAAGTTAAATCTAATGGTTCTGAAAAGAGAATGGATAAGGTGTGCAGCACAACTCGCATTTGATTCCGGCTAGTCACCTGCTGGCGGTTTTCTGGAAGCATCCCGAGTTTTTGGTGCCTTTCATGAGGACCGAAGACCAACTCTCCACACTACTGGGGACACTGCTTCCTGGACATCACTGCTCGGAAAGGTTGGAATAAATCCATGTCCACCTTTTAAACGGCGCGAGATGGTTTGGTAAGTAGAGCGTGAATTTAGTGAGCGGAAGGTTTGAACCTGACTTATTCATCTCGACTTCCTCTGGCTAGGCTTGAGCAACCTGACAGCATCCCAGCCCTCGTGCTCCCTTCAGACTTCCGAGCTTCTAACCTTAACTATTTATAGATCAGGCTGCCAGAAATTCTCGGCGAATGGCCAGTCTACAGCAACTGGCTTAGTCGGCAACGTTTGTTGCGTTTATAGACATTTTGGGAGCAAGGATTCGGCTATCAGTTTTGTACAATATGAGAAGGTTTGTCAATCCATGAGTTCCAAGTCATTGACTCGTGTCAGAAATTGCCTATATATTCCATCTTATAGTTTGCTTCGCATTTACTACCTGGGTGGAATCACCTCTCGAGAAACCTACAATTTTCTTTGCTGTTTCCGAAATGAGAGCATGTCGGCTCTGAGAAAAAGGAAATTGACCAAGTCGAACGTCTTGTTGAATTCTGAGCCATATACTTTCTAACCGGCATTTATTCCAGCTAGGAAGCATTGCCAACTCTCTCGCCTTCCAGACCTTTTTCTGGCTGTTTTGAATTCTGGATGGTTTTTCCACACAAACCGTTTTTTATGTTCTTTGTTAGCACAGATCAGTCTTATTAGTTATTAACAATAATAATGGTAATAATGATAAGGGTAGGATGCATCATAATCACACCTGTAGATTGATACCACACCTTTCAGAGATTTGCTGTCCTTCAAACGGTTGATTGTGAAACATGTGTGACGATGCCAAAATTGTTTCTGTCAGTTTCCTTAGGACGTTTTTCACTGGCCTTTTTGGCGTTTTAGCTTTCAACCTTCCCCTTATTTTTCTCAGGATTGCCCCATTTCGGGCACACGGTAGTTCTCAATACCTCCAAATGTGCTGTTTCTTTCATCAGGCTGGGCCATGTGATCCTACATTACCAACCCCGATGTGTGCATTGCGGGCCATGTTGTTTAGTTCCTTTGTTGATTTGTCTACCAACATAACCTGGTGGGTTTGGATTATCTTCTCTTGTCCGACCGATCTCCTTGCTGGCATTTACAGCAAGTGATCTGTGCACAAGCTATTAGCGTCTAAGCGAAGGACGTAGGCCTGGAGTCAAACCTATGGATAGTGTTGAATTCATCGGAAGTCACATCGATTGCTTGATCATGTGCCTTTCCAGTGAAAATCGTCTCCACCAACCAAGACCATCAGATCCGCACAGAAACGCATCTTGGCGTAGCATCTTGCAATGACCTGGGTGTAGGGACCCCATGGGTTGTGCAGCCTCTAATATAGGCAGTGGCTGCGGAGACTCCTACACACACTGTACCAATGTCTGCTAGCTAATTTATAAAATTCATTGCCTTAGTGGCACTGCATGTTGATATCCCCAATGCTGGGTCAAGTCCCAGTGCACTTCCCACTGCCACACCATTTCTTCTAGTTTCTTTTGGATGCTAGATGATGGCCGCTTGATTTTCCAGCGGATGGCACTTGAGTTTTGAGCTCAGATTTAGTTTTTGTTTCTCGTTGACACTGAATAGTCCATAGGCTTTCATAAGGGTTGTAAGACGGACATCAGGCACTGGTCTAAGACTTGGCGGTGGCGAGACGTGCTGTTCACAGATCATAGAATAGAGTTGGAAAGCATAAAAGTTCTAAGTCGGAGCCTAAGAATCACATCACGGAGATTGGTGGTTGAGTCTGGGGAAGGCTAAGTATACAAGTGTGAATACAATGGAGGGCGTAGAGCTGTTGGGCATGTAGAGGTCTGTTTTATATAAACCGAGTTGACATGCAGCGGCGTGCGGCTGTCAGCCAAGTAGAGATCCAGAACAACGCAATTTATTGTTCTTACCCAAATGTCTTCGCACTACCTCGTCAACACAGAAAAAACGTAGACAACACTCAAAAGGAATCTTCGCACAAAATGAGCCGGAGGGAGCAGACGATAGATCCGGCCCTAATTCACGTTCTTAACATTGCCGGGACCCAAACAAACAACACAATTACTTAACGAACATAATTAGGCCTGCTGGTAGGAAGAGGTCTTACTTGTCGGCTCTTCTTCTGTCCTCAACATACACCAAAATTGCAAATTAGTCACCTGACCTGACGAATCTTCTATGTCAAAAGCGAAGTTTCGCGAAAGGATAAACAATATACTTGCTTCCCGACGTTTTGCGAGACGATAGCTTTGTGATCGAGTTTCAGCTGAATTGGATAGTCAGCAGAGTTATTTTATACTACTGGGCCTTGTTTTGCCTACCAGACTTTTTGTGATCACGGATTTTTCGGTCTTAACTAGATGTACTAAGGTTTCAGATACGCTACTTTAATTTTTCCAGAATCATTGGTACTGGCTAATTATAATGAGCTCCGGTCGTCAGGCTTCTACTTTCATCTCTGTTGGTGTCAGAGGAGCTGGTGAATTTTCCACGCCCGTGTCTGGTTTCCACGGGTTTGGAGTGGATACGAAAGGATCGCAATTTACAGCACATATCAGGAATCCATTCGTTTGTGGAGCAGGCTACTCCTAGCTGAGTAAATAGTGCTCTTCTGGCCATTTCATGGTACTCAAAAATTGGAAGATCCATTCGGTGCATCCATTACACAGTTATTCCCATCGTAGGTCGCCATCCCATCATTCTCCTTTATGGGCATAGCAGCTTCACTGACCTGAAGTGACGCCGCCATCAACCCATCTACTGTACCTGTGTGCGACAACCACGTAATTCCCACTTTGACAGAGCAGAAGGGCTGAGATACTGTCAGGTTTCACCAGCAAAAACAGGAGCAGTCGAGATGCTCTGAGTTGGGCTCCAGAGACCTGGACAGTAGGCTAGTGCGTTAGCCACTATGCTATCTAGGGCTCCTCAAGATCAGTAACGACAAGTGGTGTTTCTTTATCCCTTCTGCGGAGCATCTGCAGCTCTGAGAACAGCATGGTTTGGCCGCTTCCCTAAAATAGGTCATTTGATATCGAGGCCATGAAGTCCATGGATAAGGACAATCCGATATCCGCACGCCAAATTTTTTTTCAGGCAAACACCAGTAGAGTTCTTAGAAAGGATACAGGCATATATAATGTTTGCATGCTATTTGCGATTGCGTTAAGCGCATCAGATGTCAATGGATGAGGGCGTCACATTTCGAACTGAGGAGTTACGCGTGTAAAATCTGGGAATTGGATTTGTTGAGGAAACGATGCTCTACCTATGCGGACTCACAAACCTCGACACTAGCCACTGACCTGTCCCGCTCTAAGGATCTCGAACACACCATGATTTATATCCATGGTACCCAACTATTTGCTGTTTCACTACTAGCTTGTCAGCTTCTTACAAGCGGAGGTGGTTTACACCGGTAAGTCAGAAAGTAGCCTGTCAAACATGATCAACCCCACTTTAAGTCTACACTACTTGTGCTTCATCATCCGACACAAACGGCATGTGTTCCGTGTAACAGACATGTTTGTTATAATTGCTTTTTTAGAGTGGCGTGGGTCTACCAAGAGCATCAGAAGTGTCACCAAAATTTCTTCTGGTGACGTGAGATCACAACTTTGGAAGCCGAATCCTGCGTATTTTGATATGTTTTGTAAGCTTGATGCAACCTAGTTGAATAAGTCGGAGTTTCGTCTGTCATTGGTTTGTTGAGGTCAAATTATTTACGGGTGTCCATTACCGCCATATTTTTAAAAAATGAAGGCTTTCGCCATGTCTGATCTCCTTGGGGACAGTAGTGTTGGGAATTCACCCTTGAAAAGGACACTGTGTATTTGTGATGGTTATTCAAAATGGTCATTTAGGATCATTTGTAAATTTATCCGTTCAGTGAGTACAACCATACCATTCTGCGGCCGTAATGTTGTCCTGTCAGTTTTTATGTAGGCTCTTCTCTAGGTCGCTTGTAGAGAGTTGGCTCCTGGTAAGATCGCCGTACAATTTTATCTGACGTCTACCTAGGATTAGCTCCTGTATGGAACATGTTCTGTGGACTACTGATGACACCAACAGTTAACAGGATGGATTCCAGGTAATACAAACCGAGGGAGATTTATTCGTTTGGTTGATGATAAAATCCGCTGATGCAGTAATTTGATTACCTTATCGCACACTTTCTTTCTCGGAATTGAGGCGTTTTCTCTCTCAAGTCGAACTATGCTATAACTTGCACCCGGGAAATCCACCCCAGGTAGGGATGTAGGTCGGGATCTTCAGAATCTGTTCGGGCTTCTTTACACTGAGGCACAGCACCTAATATTTACTAAAACAATTAAACAGAAAGCCTGACAGGTCACTGTAAAGGCACCGTCACGTAGTCTTTGAAGTTGGTTACATTTCGCATTTTGGGGAAAAAAGGCCCTCAGTCCATATGAGTCACAAGCGAAAGTTGGTATCGCTAGCGGAAATTAATCATTCCAGCCAGTTGTCCGCTATAAACGGATGCGATATCAAGGTTCACCACATGCATAAATGTTAACAAGGTTGTTTTTTCCGTGCGAATAAGCTTTTTTCATACTTCTATTTTGCACACAAACGAATGAAACTCTCATCTTCGAAAACTTACTCTATCATCCTGCAGGAGCTTGCCGCCTATAGACAGCGCATATCACCTATGGTCTGCGACACGGTTTCCCTGATGAACAAACTCATTTCCGATCCGAATTGCGAAATTTTGGTTGAAGGTGCACAGTCCAATATGTTGGACGTGGACTTTGGAACTTATCCGAACGTCACCTCCTCCAATTGCACTGTAGGTGGAGCATGCACAGGTTTGGGCGTACCCCCCGCGCGGATTGGCCCGGTGTATGGAGTTTTGAAAGGTGGGTCACTATCAAGTTTACGGATAATCTTTGTTTGCTTTTGTATGCACTGTTTGTTAGGTTACGCCCCAAACGAAAGTATATACTTCGCGTTATATCTAGTTTTTCAAGCCAGGCCTGCGCGAAACGTGTTATACCGGAATCCGCCTTTGTTGTCTCGCAAACACAGAGCCGTTGCCAGCTCTTTACTTGGGGTCTAGAATAAGTGAAGCGTCCAATGGCGTTAACGTATCCTATCCGTATTCCTGAACCTTGCAATCAGCCAACCTGACTTACTGAGTAGTATAACACTCGTAGCCAACTGAAGGACACCAGCTACTACATTTAGAGTATAACCCCAGCCATCATTTTAACTTCACTGCTGAAATAAAAGGTAGCGATAAACATATATTTGACTCCATGTGAGAATAACAGTGGCTTCATAGAACTTCAGAACTCTGCTGTTTACTGTGCTGGACCTGATACCAAATACACTCGCAAGGTCAATGTGATGCCTGATCTCAATCACATGAGGAGCAATTGAGACACCAGAACATCAAAGCCAAACAGGGTCATGTTCTACACCGCCGATCTCGTCAGCCGCCCGTCATGTGGATGAGGGCAAGTATCAATCCGGAGATTGGACTTGATATCATGTTAAGTGTAGCAGATGGCAGAGTTTTGAAATTTTACAAAGCCATTGCCGTTTAGAAATGGAGTCGGATGCGTGTGAGCAGAAACACCTTTATATTTCTTTGGAACCACCGCGGTAAACTATACAGTAAGCCTTCGGCATGATAACTCTTCCTTTCTTGAACTCATTGTTGTCATCTGTGGTACGCACTCAATGAGACTTAGAGAAATAAATCCGGAATATCATGCCAAACTGCGTTGCTGTGTTCCGTATCTCAGTCAGTTTTCATCTCGCTGCGACAGAAAACTTCAAGTTTAGATGACCGAAACTCATGGGACTGTGTTTTAATGGACCTGTGTACATATGTTTGCGCGCCACTACTAAACTCCCAAGATGGTCCTATTTCGTGGACCAGAGCCTCTGAAATTTGAAAGTTTCAGGACTGATTCGAAAACTGATTCGAAAGTTTCAATGACAAACAGGCTTCACGACTAAGATTTTGTTGTTCATATGTGACTGAACAACGTTTCCAAGCTTTCAAAATAACAACAGAATGGCTTGTACTTTCCAACATCGTCACGTACTGGTGTGCAAAATGTACACTGTCATGATCAAAACAGGTCAGATTAAAGCACATATGTCTTATTTTGCCACCACGCTGTAGTTCATGCAGCTGTCAATCAAAATAATGAAGCCCGATAATTCCGTGGGTTTATTGCCCTGACATGCAGCATTCATATGCGCTGGTTGAAGCCAACTGATCAGCTTGACCCTCGGTATCTTCCCAACACGTCAACTGTTTTCACCTGAGTTTACTTCTGGATGAATGGAGGACAAATTCGATGGGTGACATTAGACGGTTTAGTTGACTTTTTTTGATAGGCATTTCTTTTCTAATACACGGTCATGCACAATTCACGAAGAATGTCAACTGATGCGCGCCACATGGGACAACCTTCTACTCTACCTTCAGACAGTGGTGTACACTTTCGAAGCGAATGACGAAGTTCTAGTAAGTCTTAGAGAATTACCTTGGAAATCGTCAACTGCTTTTCTCAGAGCTTTATGGCCAAGTTGCATCGACTCCAGTAAGGAAATTTATAGGTGTCCTTTCAAATAGTCCTAAAATTCCACTGGAACGATCTCAACTCTTCCACGCACATTCCTCTCTTCCTTAACCTCTGAAAAGTGAACTAATCCCCCGAAACAACTAGGGGAAACCTTACGCAGGAAGTTGTATTGTGATAAAATATGTTGAATTTCACTTTCTTGTAGAAAACTCCATATCACAGAGCTTTCTTTTTCTTGAGGTGAGGGACAAAAGGAAGTAATTCCTACTTGACTGGGCAGTCCGTGGTTAGTGCCTTGACGCTCCGCTATCGATAGTTGTGGTCTTATAGTCTGAAGGTTGGGGTAATGTCTCGGTTTTTTCACTTTCTCCTAGTGATCTGCCATCAACTCTCCGTTTTTGTTACACAAAAACGGTTGTATGGGCTGGTTTTAACCGGATAGAACAAGAAGTGAACAGAAATGCTCAACAAGTTCATCAACATTCGAGACTTTAAACGGTGAACAAAACAGTGGTAGCTAAAAGCGCTGTACTGCAAATACGCGGTTCATGCAGCAGCTGTCGGTTGAACAAACGGAACACACATGATCGGAATGTATTTCGCCGGTACAAGAACGTGGCCAGGCATGGTGGGATACGTGTTCAGATTTGCGCACGGTTCTGTCCAACTGGCTACTGATATTCACTTGCTAAAAGGATGATGAAGCCCCTAATTCGCAACAAGCAACTGTGATCACACGGGCAATAATTATAATGATCATTGATTCAAATTTCACCGGTTTTCAGAATTTTTTGCCCGTCTGCCGCCACGGACTGTTTGATTGTCTTCATGCTCGTCTTTCCGCATCTTTATACAGCGTACACAACTCGCGTTGGCTCGGGACCTTTCCCCACAGAACTAAAAGATGGCATTGGCTCAAGGTTGCAAGAACTCGGAAAGGAATGGGGCGTAACGACGAAGCGGCGTCGGCGTGTGGGTTGGCTTGACACAGTGATTGTTCGATATGCTCACATGATCAACAATTTTTCAGCCCTTGCGTTGACAAAATTGGACGTACTGGATGGTTTGGAAGAGGTATGTGTTTTATATTTCTTATGTACGTCATAAACGAGAGGTTCAGCTGGGTTCCAGGTGAGTTTCTCGAAAGAACCAAATTAGTTTGCAGATGAGGTATGTGTTTTCTTTCTTCACAGTCAGTTTCATCGCGCTGGCATAACCTCTCGTGGATTACTCTCATTTGTATACGAAGTTGGTTCCGACGGGAGACGCACCTGAATCAAGCTGAGTCTTTTGCTTATGATGGCGCTCTTTAACTGAGTGTGCTGCATGAGGCCATCTGATGTTTCGGTTGGTACGATATTCGAGACATCACAGTATGTTTCCCGGGCGTAACACACTACTCATAAGGTTGTTGAACACTCTTCGAAAGTTACGAACGAATTTATTCTTCATGAGACAAGTGTATTTTCTCGAGTTGCGTTGAATTTTGGTTTATATAGAACACAAGGTTGACGGAAACTACTGGACTTTGGCTGCTTGATGAGTCCGATGTGGAGGGACGAAACCGGCCGTGGGCTGTCGAGGAGTTTTCAGTGACCCTGTAGTGCGTTTGCTTTAGCACTGCGTTGCCTTTGTAAGGCTAGTTCAAATGCGTGTTGGTTTTGCATGCAAATGCTCACTGACTGCGCTTTCGAGTCACCAGTCACCAGTTATCACCAACGACAGCAGGTCCAATTATAAACACATGGCTTACTGTTTGTCACCATGTCAATTTAGTTGAGCGACGATGCGCGATGGAAATTGGAGAGGCAGACACAGAGGGACCTTCAAAACTTCTGAAATGGATTCTGAAGAAATGGCCTCATGAGCAGCTCTGACTGGAACATCCAACCTCTGAGTATGTAGACACTTGTGCTTGGTTGGCTGTTTTCGGATCCGTGCTTTAGGTTCCGCGTTTCGAATAAGTTTCTTCTCTTGACTTAGCTGATTGGTTCTCCTTCCGCCTTAAATCTCGATCAACCTCGGAACCTAGTCACTTGGCCTGACGAAGCTTTTGTGTCAAAAGCGAAACGTTGCCCAGCAATAAATCTACCGATTGTCATCAAACTTTTTCGGAAAAAATTTCTTCTCATTAAGAAGGCTAATTCGACCAGATCTGACTCACTACTGTGAAACTGTGATCCACGCAAGGGAAGTTTTAATTTGAAGATAAGATCGAAGGGGAAGACTGTGGAGCTTAGTGTCAGCCGGTCACCTCCGATTATCCAGTCTCACCGCGAGCAATCAGCTGATACCTTCGCGGTTGACATCCACTGTGAGTGTCATCCGAGTTTTCTCGAATTGCTTCCTCTAATGACGGTGGAACTAATAACTAGATAGTCATTAAGCCCGCCCATCATTGAACAGGACACACAGGAGCTTATCACTTTGAGCACATACCAATCGAAGGTCCGGATGCAAGCAGGCTATTACTGTGCACGAGTTTATGTTGGGGTTTGTGAAAACGAGGTTAGTGGTTGCTTAGTGAAAACAAATGTCACGAACTGGCGGACCAAGTCTCGAAAGAATATACGAGGTAAAGGCATTTGTCCGTGAGGAGAATAAGGAGAGTGGATAATAAATCTATTGTGGCTGATATTTGAGAGTACCGATCTCCTGATAAATCGTTTTGGTAGGTGAATGAGTCGAGGACGTGCATTCCTCCAGGGGCGGTAGCCTGCCTCCGTATTTCAGCACGGACTTGAGTATTGGAACGACGATACTATCTTCAAGGCGGTTAGCAGTCAGTTACGGCAGTCCAATCACCGAGGGTTCAACCTGCAAACAGGAGGATCGGGAGGGACTGTTCATGACTGGTTAGGGTAGAACTTATCCATACAACGTCTTTCGTTGCACTTTTCAAACAGAAGCAGAACAGAAATACATGAGTATTTCCGGTGGCCTGATTGAGATGGTTCACTTTCACAACTAGTGACCACTACATATTCGTTCTGCTTTGTAGATGGCAGTCATACGTACTCATTAAGCCGAATGTCCACTAAGAATTGATACAACCTTGAGAATCCGTGGAACTGTGTATACTCTAAATTTTCTGAAAGAAATTAAAACGATTTGTTTGACTTAAAATGACGCTGTGATTTTTGCTTTAGGTGGTTCATGGTGGAGGCAAAGCTGTTATCCTTATGTTACTCACGTACCAAAATCAATATGACTAATTACGTAGTCCGGCACAAACTTTGATTGTGTTGACATTATTCCAAATGTCTCCTGCAGGTATTTATCGGTCGTGCTTATGTAGACACTGAAACCGGTCAAGAGTTGGCTGTTCCTCCTGCAGACTCCAGCATCCTAGAACGCGTAAATGTGGTCTATGACATCTTGCCTGGCTGGAGTGAGACTACCCGTGGCTGCACTTCATTCGATCAACTTCCGGAAGCTGCAAGACAATACGTCTTGGCAGCTGAGCGTCTCTGTGGCGTCCCTATTCGCTGGATTGGTACTGGTGCCTCTCGTGATGCAATTATTGTACGTGACGTGTAGTAAAACCCACCCCTTCTGAACACGTATAGCCCACTTTTGGACTCTGGTCAATCCTTTTTTCGGCTAGCTAGTAGCCATTTTGTACTTCTGCCTTCTACTATTTCCATCGTCCCAACTATGGTCCCTTCAAGTTTAGAAGAGAGGATTTTCAACTTTCAGATCGTGCCAGTGTTCTTGTTTTACAAACTTTGACCTATAAACTCCTTTTCCTACAGTTTTCCAAGAATTCATCAGTTGCGGAATAAGAGTACGGTTTGGATCTGTCGTAAAATGAATTCGGTATTGTTGGAAACTGAGTTTACACACAAAAAGGCTAACTGTTTGCATCACTCAGCTCATTTATTTTCAGCTCGAAGAGTCTTCACCAGGAAAAACAGCAGTGCACCGACGGAAATCGAGTAATAAACCCAAGATCTTATGATATTTGGTCCTGGGTCAGTCTCTTCATTTAGCTGAGGCCTACCAAACCCAGGATTACTCAGTTCTCATATAAAGTTACCATACTGTTAATGTCCTCTGATCACCTGAGCTGCACCTGGGTTGCACATCTGTGCAGGTCCGGATCGTTCACAGATCCAGGTGTGTGAAAACTCAGGATGTACAGTTATTTTAGGATTGGTCGATGTAACGGTCCGTTTTTCCCCTTGCTGATCGCAGTATTTCTCAGAGCGGTTTTGACACTTCACTGCTCTGTGTGCCAGTGACGGCGACTCACGGGTGAAGCGCTCGGTACCCATTTTCTTCGTCGACAGCACGTGGATTAATAGGTACGGATACGACCTTCATTGCAAGATAAGTTGGAGCTGATCAAATGGACGACATACGCTTATAAGTGGAAACTCTGTTTCCAATCCTCGATGAACGTATCAATTATCCCCAGGATGCGAATCGAATGCCTATGTTGAAGCACTTAGTTGGGCTCATGGCAGTCTGTCTTTTCGAATTACGGACTTAACTTGCTTGAACTGCCTGGTTGTTCATTCGCGCGTGAGAAAGCATCTTTACTACTGTTGGAGGGGGGTTACGCAAGGTAATTGTATCCAATATATCGAGAGGTCTTCAGGGCATTATCAGAAACCCAACCGCGTTCTGCAGGCAAATTCCTGTTGCATCTGCCTGGCCCGCAAATAGTCTGGTGATGTGCCGTCCAACAGTCAGGGTTTTTCTCGTACCCCTAACTGACGGAAAGTTAGATTTCAGTTTTCTCTGACTCGTTGGAATCCCAGACAGAATGTAGCACTCATGCTCCGGTGATATGGTCGTCAGATGTAGTAGCGTGGTTATACAGAATATCCAGATAGCTGTTCACTTCTGCACAGAACTGCCAGGTGGGGTCAACATCCATATACCGGCATCGTTAGTGAGCTCAGTGATTTCAAGGTGTTCCACGGACCTGAAATCCAAACTCGTAGGGGAAATCTTAGAATGCGGAACATTTTCATAGAGCACCTTGTTCTCAGCTGTAGTGCTACGGAGATTTTCTCATTTTGTTCTAGAGAAAATATGAAGTAAGGAGATAAGCGCTGATACATGCGACCATTGCACATTGGCGTCTCATTGTCGATCCACCAATAACATGCGAATCGTTCACAAAGGCTCTAAGGTCCAGACGGCGGATGACAAAGACTAGACAAAAGGTCAAGGTGATGCTTAACTTCCGTTTACCATGTCGCCAGCTGTCTAACATCCACAAAGCATTTATATGATCACGGGCTTAGCTTTGTCTATTGGATTTAACAACCCCTCTGTAATTTCACGCGTTTGAATCAGCTGACGAAGTGGGATGCGGCTTACTGACCAGGTGTCATCTTTTTGTTTTGACACAATTATTCCCGTGAAGCAGCAAACTAGGGCTTCATTCTTATTAGAGCTCATCAAGTAGTGCATATCCTTGGTCGTGCCTGGGTTTGAACTACGGACATCCGAAGTTCGAGAGGAGGGTGTTACCTGATTTATCACGTTTGAACAGGTGAGCATGTTTTTGCCTGCGCGATGTGATTGGTCCGCTCGAACGACGACCCAACAACCGTCCTGGTTTTACTGATCAATCGACCAACTTCTGAAGACTTCCCAGACATTTACCACCACTGACGCTTGAAACCTGCCGGACAAATTTGATTGGTTGTGGGTGGTTGCTAAATTTGTGTGGACTCACCGGAATAATTACGTCAGAGCAGGAGAAGGACTGCTCAAACGAGAGTGAAGTGAATATGAATTACTGGTGTTGATTTGACTAAAATACTTGACACTAAAACAGAGGATTCCGGCATACTCCGATCGGTGGCGAAAACAAGAAGCTGATTCGGAATAAATACTTGTCTAATTTTGTACGTGCCCCTTTTTTCCAGGGACCTTTCAGTCCTCATTACGTGACGGGTTTGCACAGTTCGATTCAGTGTTACCAGTTTTCTATATCCTTATAAAACGTAAGGGTAGCATTGCATCTGGATGAGATTCTGTTGCTTTTTGACCTAAGGGTCGGTTTTTCAGATTGTTCGTACGTCAAACTACGAGCACCATACCGCGCGACGGATGGGTAGAGCTATGTGCGGTTTGTGCTGAGCGGCACGTGCCACCAGTTGAACGCTTTTTGCTCGGTCTACTGTTGTGGTAGTACGCTAGTATCCACCCGATTTCTCGTGGTCAAGCTTTTGAGCCAAAGACTTTGCTTGAAGATCCTAATCGTCCTCCAAGCCCGGTAGTTACGGCGCCAACTTACGGACTGAAAGGGCGTGTGCATGTGGACTGCTCCTGTCTGGGCTTGAGAGACCTGCTCCCTTCAGGTGGCATGTCAGCTGGGCCCCCAAAAGGAGTTACAGTCGAGCGGGTTTTTTAACTTCAAGACAAAAACAGTTTCACGTCACATCGGTTATCTTACTTGCAACGTACAGAGGGGTAAGTAAACAAAAACAATCTACTACTGACGTCTCTCTCCCACCTTGCCCCGTTTTCGTACTCTACAAGTTCCAGCACTAGAACTGAGAGCTTTGTTCACATTAAGAGCCGAATCCCGCGCGTATGTCTTCAGCAACATCTCTGCACTTTGAGGGCACTTTTCGGGCCTCCATAGTTGGCCTACTTGGCTGCTTCTACTGTCCTCAGTTGGTAGGGTGCAGGACAAGTTGTTATCGTTCGTAATCTAGATTGCCTCTGGATTAATATATACTATCCGTCAGAGGCAAGACGCAGGTGGTGTAACCGAACTGATTGCCCCGTAGTTCTCTTCCGTCTGTGAACCTTCCAACCAAACCGTCCCTTATTAATTGGATACCCCTTAACAATCGCCACTTTTATAATTAACTATGAAAGAATCTCGAGGAGAGAGGTCCACCTTCTGTTTGTTATGCATGTTTAGGCTCCATTGGATGTACCAGAGACGGTTTCTGTGACGCTGTAAGTCTTATGATACAACGAGTAAAAAGCTCAGGCGTCCTCGCGAAAGCGAGGACGTCTTAGCGCTACTGAGGCTCATTTGGATGGTTGCCTTGGATTAGGCATGAGACAATGCACAACGAAGTGAGCCTGGTAGAGATATGTGCTGACCGCATACTTTTCCTTTGCATAAATGATTTCTGAGACAGTGAAATCGGAAAGCCCACCAACGTAGCATTCCCGAACCAAAAGAGATCACACCGCTGTCATTTATCTGGGTCAAGGGTCGAGCACCGCCTGCCGCTCCTTCTGGGTTATCTGCATAGACTTCGATCACGCATCCATTCGTTGCTCTCTCATTGAGGTTTTCTAGTCTACGCAGAACTTGCACACACCCTACGGATATTGAGAATCCCTTAACCCAGGAATCAGACAAAGCTACCGGAACGTACCTTTTCAATTTATGCCTGCCCATCCGAAGTTGAATAGTAACCATCAATGGAGTGATATATCTGTACGTGATGCCGGGGCTTCTATCTGCGGTACAACCCAGTCGAATTCTTCCAGGTATTGGATCTTCGATAGAACCATGACTCTGCCGGAAGCTTGGCGATAGATCCCTTGTAGTTTTAGGAATAACCTAAATCAATGCATTTTTCGACGCCAGAAAAACTGAGTGTACACGCAGATCATGAAGCTTGGTGGATCCGAACGGCTGACTAAATGGAAGAAGCAAAAAATGCTAGGAATGTCTCCATGTTGTTCCACTCGATTTTTTCAAAGATTTCTATCAGATAAACCATCAAGAATCATAGTGATTCTCTGATATTCAGCAGAGAAGGAGATTTGGAACTTTGTTCAAATTACTTCAACAGCTATTCAGTTAACTGGCTGTAATCCGTGCAGTCTGGTTTTGACAAACAGAACGATAATATGGGGCACTCTTCATCCTCCCGTGCCCTCGAATATATATCCTCACTAAATCATCATTGTTCGCTTGGTTCTTACAACATTCAAACTGTTGTGTTTGAGCACCGTGATGAATTCCTCAAACACAGGTCTTCTGGCCTTATTGCGTCTATTTTGGAGGAAGATAGCACTCCAGACAATGCTTAGTTTGATAATAGTACCCATCCTTGGAAAAGTTACTCGTAGTGATTGTACTCAGCAGAGGGGCACCATTTTGACTGACAATGTAACAAGGCTTCTGATGTCACTAATTCTTCAATGTTTTACGGTGGCCCGCAAATCATTGACACGTGAGTGTCAAATGGGATTTCGACCTTGTAGAGGCTGCATCGACCACATCTGTATACTCTGGCAGGTGATGGAGCAACGTCACCTTTACAGGCGACCCACAACCCTGAGGTTCTCTCAATTCAAAGGTAACATTTAACTCTGTCGATCAGTGAGTGCTGCTATCCACACTTGCTCAGCAGAGTTTGTCCGAGAAGTTTATGAGGATAATCCGGTCTCCATATTCACATATTTCTGGGTGTGTGAGAGTGTCATTGTATACTCAGACGCGTGTTGTTCCCCGTGCTTGCTTCAGAACGGTGGAAACTCATGGGTGAATGACACGTGGCTTGGAAGAAAGATGTGAAGTTGCTTTGGTGTTGTTTGTGCGGCCCACCTTTCATGATGGATTCTCCGTGACCCCCAGCGCCCTGAGCTGCAAATGCTGCAAGAAACAACACCCAGTCACCCTTAGCGGCCTACTTTCCAAATTATTTGATTGAGCGTTCGGTTGAGTAGGCACCTCATAATTCTTGCGGTTTGGTGGCGCAGATCCCTCATTCATTCACTCTTCTCTCCTTTTTACTTTGGGGGTTTAAATGTAATGAAATTACGTTTGTAATTGTACGGCGGTGAAAGATCAATTTCGTCACTAATGTTGCTGTCTCTGATGACGGTAGTGATAATGTATCCTCACTAGAATCTAGAATTTTGG